CAGAGGCGTAATTGAGGGCTTCGGTCACATACACTCCTGACGCCGCGCTTAGCGGCCGTCTCGGGGATCTTGTCTGTTTGTATCTCCTCGAGTTTGGTCAGTATACCCTGCTGGGATCTGAACCCGACGATAATCTTGGGGACGCCGAGAAGGAAGGATTGGATCCAGAATTTCATCAGTTTGCGCTCGAAATTGGCCATGCTGCGCTCATCGCGGATCTCGACGCTGGTTTTGAGCTCCACCCAGTTGATCGGTGCTCCTTTTTTCATGGGTTTGGCGTCCCAGACTTTTTTGGGGGGGAGGGTGGAGGGAGGGACGCACCAGCATGTTAGCGCATCACGGGAGGAAAATACGTGGCTGGAGGCGGCATGTGAAGGGGAATGCGCGCTTACTGGCATCGACCTCGCCGCCGAGGCACATGACTGTCTTGCCGATGCCCGTCCGGACTACGGAGCAGTATTGTGCCTTGTTGCAGACTATCTGCCTGTCCCGGTTCTCGATGTAGTCTCGGGAAACCTCTCCCCAAGGACGGGGTAGACAGCTCAGTGTCTCAAATTTATATCCTATCGTATGATGAGTTTTCGATGATCATGATATTGACGGTGGGTATCAAATTCGAACCCCAATATGTCATAACATCGGGCGAAACCTGTTGGGAACGTCTGCCCTGTTGCTGCCTTTGTTGTTCCTTTCTTGACGCTTGCTTGTAGGCATGGCTCTCCTCCACGAAGCTGAGCCAGTATCAGATCGGACACTTCTTCGGCCTCCCCGAATATGAGGGCATGGAGCGTGTAACGTACATGCAATCCTTGGCCTAATGTCAGCACAGCACTCTTCGAGGGATGGCGATGGTTTGGCGTACTTGATAGAGTGTAGCATTCATTTCAAAACTGGAAATGTTACCATGTTGAGGATAGGTCAGAGGCTCATTCGTATGGGCTCGGTATTCCGAGGTCTACATACCCGTCACGATCCTCGAAGGGAGCTGACATGATCTGGCTGTGCAATTAATGGCACAATATTTCATGATTTGAAGGATGCCTATACTCGATGGGATCATATCATCCATACCTTGGTCATCATGCCGCGCCAGGTAACAAGCTGGGCATCAATTTTCTGGCCCGCCTCTCGTTCGTGGGCTGCAATGGTGCTCAACAGGCTCTCGAGGTGCTCATCTGCAGAATCGTCATGCTTGTCGAAGCTCTCAAAACCTCGGGACAGATCGGAGCCGAGCTCAGCAGGGTAATACCATTGCATTGACGAGTCACCTAAATGAAACTGGTGTTGATCATCATACGAGAAACAGGCGATCTCCTGCGTTGGGGTTCTCTGGTCAGAAGATGATGACCATAGCCATCCATACCCGGGGAGATTTGGTTGGGTATCTGCAAGTATCGCCTTACCTTAGGCCGCTTAACGGCCTCGCTCTCTCCGGCGAAACGTTGAATGGGCTGGATGTCGAAGGTTAGGCTCATGATGTGTTTATTACTCTGCCCGATTGTTCGAAGATAAACAAGGCCAGACCCTAATAAAAAAATAAATCAAGGATATAATTATAAGATATAAAATATAAAACTAAGGAGATAAATATAAATAAATAAGCGAAAAAGATAATATATGTTAATATATTTAAGCTAATTAATTATATATATTTATATATTAAAATTAATAATTATATATTTTTAATTATTAAATAATAATAATAATAATAAATATTTTAAAAAAGCCTTTTATATTTATTATTTTTAATTTTAAAAAAAATTATATATTTAATAAATTAATTATTAAATAATATAAATTTAATATAATTATTTATATTTAATTTATTTTTTTATATTTTATTAAAATCGATATTAAAAATTAAGCTTTAATATTTTAATTTATATTATTTAAACCCGTAATTATATTTATGCCCGTTTTTTTCGATATAATAATCTCGAGATATATATAATTTAACCACTTTAAAATCATTTATTTTAAATGTTTTATTTTAAAATATTAAAAAATTACGAGCTTTATTTATAAACGTTATAATTATAAATAATTATAAATAATATTTTTTAAATTTTAATTTAAAGTTATTTTATCGATTTTAACTTTATATAATTATAATAATAATAACTTTATAATTATTATTATATTATTATATTATTATTAAATTAATTAAGCTAAATTATTTTATTTATTATTAATTAATTAATTAAACTAATAATTTAATTAAAATAATTTAAGTAAAATAGCTTAAAAAATAGCTTAAAGCTCGATTAAAAAAGTGAAAAAAAAATTTATAATTAATAAAATTTTATAAAAATTTAAATACTAACGCTTATTATTTATAAATAATTTTTATTTAAAATTAAATAATTATATAAAAAAATTATAAATATAATTATTTAATTTTATATTAATTTTTAAGGGAATTTATTATAATTTTATATATATATAGCTAATTATAAGATAAAAATATTCGTAAATTACTATTAAAATTATAGCGCGCAAGCTTAAAATCGACAAATGTACCTTAGACCAGAATTTGAGGAACGCCACCTATAGCCACTTGTGGCTGTGGCGCTTGCGGGCAAAGCCCGCAACTCCTCAATATTCTGGGATGAGGCACCTGAGATAAGGAACTACCTAGAAACCATCCTGCCGCAGATTGCCGTATCGATTGACAGCCAGCCCCCTCCTAGACATCTCCTGGCCTGTCCTTCAATATACCTACCTCCACATGTGCCTAGGTAGGTAGGTAAACATACTACCACCCCCCTTCCCCGGCAAAAGGATGGCCGAACGCCCGCCCCCGAACCTGCGGCCCGGCACCTCTAGAAACAGCCGCTCCAACCCTCCCGCAGGAGGCGGAGGAGTACGGCGAAACCTTTTCCAGAGCCAGCTGACCCGCCGTCCTACCCCGACCATGACCACCTCCTCATCCTCCTCTACATCCGCCGAGACTCTGCGCCTCGACGTTGATGTCCTGTCCGATACCTCCGAGATCGTAATCCGCGATAAGAATGGCGACTTCGACGTCGGCGACCTCCCTACCCCGCCCCTGGACGACCCAGAGGAGGTCCCTACCGCTCTGGACGATGCTCAGGAGAACGAACGTATGTACTGCGCCTGTTTTCTGGCTCCTTTCCCGGCTAAGAAATACCTGCAACCTAATATGCACCTCTGCCCACATACAGGGGTAGAGGGCGGTCAGGGAAGCTACCCGGGTGTAGATCAAGAATTCGTCTGCTAAGATCATGTTTCTTCACTGTGTTACAGGAGAAAGACAGAAGCTTGCTGAGGCCATCATGGATCACCAGAAAAATCACAATCGCGTGCCAGCACAACCTGAAGGTAGGGAGATCACGACGCTTGCCCCCTTCCCCCCAACCCCAACCCTAGCCTCGACAACTGACAAAGGCAACAGAGGTTCTTGAAGCACTCCGGGCCAGCATGAGGGCCAAGGTTCTAGCACTGGCTGATGACAATTGGATGTATGAGGCCGAGGAACAGCCACGACCGCAGTGATCGTGACACCACGGGGTAGATGCTTGGTGAACCTTGTTATTCATCAGGGGTTCGAGCTTGTCCCAGCACAAGAACCTGCTAATCTGCTATCATGCGCCACGAATGCACTAGTCCAATCCCTCTGCAGCTGGCATGCTCGTCGGCGCCTTGACCGCCGACCGTTTCGAGCCACCTGCTGCAGACCCTCCGCCTCCGCCAAAGAATCCGCTCATCATGTCCATTAGGGGATTGCTCTGTCTCGGTCTCATAATACCAAAGTATACCTCGGCGATCATGCCCAGGGGCTCGTGCCACATGTCCACCTCCTTTAGGTGACTAGCGTATTTGCTGGTCAACTGTCGGTACAAGTCCGCGCTGCCTCTCTGGATGGCGAGGAGGAGAAGGCCGATGAAGTTGAGGAGCGGTAAGCTGGGGTACACTCGCATGTCGGTCGTGCTGCTGCTTACGTCTTGTACGCCCAGTTGGCCCTGTTTATCTTGGTTCAGGGCAGTGGTGAAAATCCGGTAGGAGGTATTGGCGGCGCGGACATTGGCTGCGAGCAGGTAGGGGAAGACTACTCTGCTCGCATAGAGTGCCGCAGTATGTGCTTCGTCTTCCTTGAACCACTCATATTCCAAGCGTGCAAAGACTTGGGCCGAATCTTTCGTTCCCAGGACCAGGTGCTTCTCGGCCTCATAGGCTTCGTGTTCCTCGGCGTAGAGCGAGCCTGCCACATGGTGAAGCTCGGGATCTCCGGCTGGGCAGTCGCCGAATTTAGATGACCACCTGGTGAAGACGAGGATAAGGTACATGACACCAGCAGGAAGGAGGTCGGGGATAGAATATAGATAGACAGGACATACGTTATCATTTCTCCGATATACTTCTTTCGTGTGGGCTCTTCGCTGTCGAACAGTCGTAGGCACGTCAGCAGCCTGCCCCTGGATGTCGCATCGGGCTTGAGCTCGGCTTGTTTGTAGCTATCCACCAGCAGCACACAGAGATCCCCACCACTGCCTCCCTGTCCTGCCCTCAGCAACGACTGCGCCACATTGTACAGGATGTCAATCGCGGCACTCCAGTTGGAGGCTTTCGAGTAGCGGGCGGCGACAACACGAGTCTGTTGCTGAGCTTCGTAATATTGTCCCTCAGTAATCCGCTGCTGGAGTCGCGCGATAATCTTGTCAATTTTGTCGCCTCTGTTGCTCATCTTCGCAAATCAGGATCAGCTAAGACTTGAGAATCTGCAGTAGACGATTTGAAGAATGAATGGTGCAGGGAGGGGTTTCGGTGACGTTTGAGGATTCAACTAAATAAAGATAGGAGGAGACAGATGACGAGAGGTAGAGAGAGACATTACGAGTCTGGTGGGGAATGGGGGGAGTGTACCCAGGCTACCAGGTTTGCTAGCTTGCAGAAGAGGGTTGCACTCCGGCAAAAAGTTAGAAGGAAATTCAAAAAGTTAGAAGGAAATTTTGATTGTTAGGCAGCAAAAACAAAACATGTGCCCGAACACAGATTCGAACTGTGGACCTCTGCATATCTACAACCTGAGTCGAAGGTATAAGAGCAGCGCGCTAAGCCGCTGCGCCACACGGGCCAATTACATGGGAAAAAGAGTTATAGAATAGACTTATATTAATAAAGCAGGGGTGAATAAAAATTATTACTCATTATTAAAATTAATATAATTATTTAAATTATTATTAATAAAAACTAATAATTAAATATTTTAATAAAATAAATATTTTATAAATTTTATTTAAAAAAAATATATATATATTATAAATAATAATTAAATAAAAAAGCGAGGTTTTTATATATTTATAATTATTAATTATAATTAAAGTTATTTTAATATTTTTAAAATAATATAATTATTTTATAGCTTTTATTAAAAGGTTAAAATATTTATATAATAATTATTTTAATATTAATTTTTTATTTTTTTAATTTAAATAAAGTTTAAAAAAAGTTTTTAATTTTATTATTTTTAATAAAAATTATTTATATTAAATATTTAAATTATAATTATTTAAAGGTTTATTTAAAGGTTTATTTAAAAATTTATTTAAAAATTTATTTAAAGGTTTTATAAATTAAAAAAAATATTATATATATAATTTTATTAGATTTCTTTAAATTTTATTAAATTTTATAAATAAATAATTAATTAAAATAAAATTTTATATATAATAAAAGGCGCTTATTATTTTAATAGCTTAAATATAAGTTTTTTTCGAATTTTAATAGCGTAAGCTTTCTTTTAATTTATTATTTATTTATATATATTAATTAAAATAATTTATTTTATATTAATAATATAAATAATAATTTATTATAATTATTATTTTAATTTATTTAATAAATATAATATAAAATAAATAGTTTTTATTTTTAAACTTTATTAAATAACGTTTAAAAATTATTATAATATTTTATTTATAAATTTCTTTTTTTTAATTAAACGATATTTTTTAAGGTTTATTTTTTATTATTATAACGTTTTTTCTTTTTTTCTTTTATTTATTTTATTTTTTATCAATGTTTTTTTATCCGAATTTTTTAATATATATATTATCTAATATTATATTTAAAGCTTTTTATTTATAATTATATTTAATTAAATTTAATCGTAAATTAGTTTTTTTTAATATTAATTCTTTATTTTATTATATTTATATAATTTATTTTTATTTATTTATTAAAATAATATATTTATATAATTAATTAATTTTTAATTTTAGCATTTATATTTTTATTTTTAACCTTTTTTAATATTATTATTATTAATAACTTATAAGTTATATTAAAAATAAATAGTTTTTTTATATAATTTATATTATAAAAAAAACTATGCTAAAATTAAAGAAAAAGCCTATATAATATTTATTTTATTATATAAAAGTCGTTTATATATAATATTAAATTATATTATTTAATTAATATTATAAAAATAAAAAAAGGGTGAAAAAAAGCCGCTTAATATTTAAACGTTATTTAAAGCTTAATTAATAATATTAATTTTTAAGGTCGTTTTTATTTATATTAAATTTTTAATAAAAATTAAAGGCTTTATTATATAAAATATAAAATTTTATAAATTATTTTTTATAATATAATTAATTTATAATTACGATATATATATATTAGCTTTTTTTAATAAATAATTATTTTAAAGCCTTTAATTATAACGATTATATATATATTAAATTAACTTATATATTAATAAAAAGCTAATATAAATTATTTAATCAATTATATAATAAAATTATTATAATATTTTTATAGCTATTTTAAAATTAAAGCAATTTATTAATAAATTAAAGGCGATTAAAAAATAAAGTTGTTTTTTTATTATTATTAAAAAAATGCGTTATTATTTAATAATTTTTATAATAATATTATAACGTAATTATTTTAAAAATATAATAATTAAATAAAAAGGCTTTTAATCCGATTGTTTTTTTTTAAAAAATTTATATAATAATTAAAAGTTTATATTTAAAAAGTATTTAATAATATATTTAATTTAAATAAAATTTATTTAATAATTAATTAAAAATTAGCTTTAATTTAACGTTAAATATTAAGTTTTTTTATTATAAACTTCATATTTAAAATTTTAACGGCTATTTTTTATATTAATTTATTATTTAATTAAATTATTATAATATAAATAATTTATTTATTTTTTATTAAAGGTTTAAACGTAATAAAAAGCATTATATTTACTAATTGTTAAATTTTTTAATGCGCAGATTTTTTGCTTTTATTAATTAAATATAATTAGAGATTTATTTTATAATTTTTTATAATATAACGTTTATATTATTATTATACGTTTATAAAAAGTATTTAACGGCTTATTAATAAAAATATAAATTTATAAAAAATATTAATAATTTAACTTTTAAATAAATATATAAAATAATATAATAAACTTTTATAGCTTAATAAAATAATATTTTTTAAATAAATGCGGCTAATTTTTAAAATAAACGTAAAACGCTTATTTTTAATTTATTTTAGTTTATAATTTTATAAATTATTATATTATATATAATTATTATATAAATAAATTAGAATTAAATAGTTTTTATTTTTTAAATAAATATATATAACTTTATAATTATTAAAGTTTAATAAATAAGCTTTTTTTAAGCTTTTAAAAATATATTATTTATATAAAATAATAATTTTATTATATATTTAAAAATTAAACGTTATTTTTTAAGCGAATTATAGTATTTTTAATTAAATAATAATTAT